ATGAATTCCAGTGAAGGTTGGTCATATAACCTCTTAAGCCCCCTTTTGAATATCAAAACCTAAAAGTAAAAAGATATCTTGAGCATAGTAATTTTTAAATGCTCTTCCATATAGTACCATGAGCTCTTGGTCTGATCTTTCATCTATCTATAGTTCTGATGTAGCACCACCTACTGCCAATGCTGTCTATAAGTGGGCCTACCATCCCAAGGGGAAGAGCTGGACCGCGAATTCTTGGGTCAGCTTGCGGAGGCACTTAAGGCAAGGGATGTAGGTAGTCATCATGCGTGATCTAAATTACCCAGACATCTGCTGGGAGGAGCAGTCAGCCACGTCTGACTGCTCACGGAGGTTCCTGGCTGAGATACAGGACCTCTGTCTAGCCCAGGAGGTTCACAGTCCTACCGGGGGAATACCCTGCTGGACCTGGGCCTGGCCACAGGCGACGACCTGGTGAAGGGACTCCAGGTCCTCAACCACCTGGGTGATAGCGATCATCACTTGCTGGAATTCACCATCCTGTAAAGGGTGTCAAGGGCCTTCAGCAAGGCAGTAGCCTTAAAATTTAAGAGGGCCAACTTCAATGAGCTAAGGAGATTAGTGGGGGAGGCACTAGGGTCCTGGAGAGTAGGGGAATTGGGTGCCCAGGATGAGTGGTTGTTCCTTAAGGAGACAATACTCAGAGCCCAAGGGGTGACAATCCCAACAAGAAGCAAAGGGGGCAATAGTGCCCCAAAGACCCCCTGGCTCACCAAGGGCATTCGTGAATGCCTGATTGCCAAAAAGGAGGCGTACACCCAGTGGAAGGGAGGGGCTATCACCAAAGAGGAGTATACCTCCACCACTCGGGTCTGTAGGGGGGCTGTTAGGAAAGCTAGGGCTGATACGGAACTAGGGTTAGCATCAAGGATAACAAAAAGTTCTTTTTTAAATACACAGGGAGAATGAAGGCGGCCCTGGGTAATGTGGGGCCCCTGCAGGATATGCTTGGCAATCTGGTGGTTGCACCAGAGGAGAAAGCAGACCTCTTTAACAATTTCTTTGCCTCCATTTTCTTGTGCAGGGACCGGGACTCCCCCTACCGAGATTCAGAACAGACACAGGAGAAACTCTGCCAGGCCTAGGATCAGGGAGGACCGAGTTAGAGAACTTCTGGAGGGGCTGGATGTGTTCAAATCAGCAGGTCCAGATGGTCTCCACCCCAGGATGTTGAGGGAATTGGCAGGGGTTATTGTGGGGCCCCTGGCACGGCTTTACAAGCGCTCGTGGTGCTCTGGCCAGGTGCTGGACGACTGGAAGAGGGCCAATGTGGTTCCCATCTTTAAAAAAGGGAAGAGGGAGGACCCGGGCAACTATAGGCCCGTTAGTCTTACTTCAATCCTGGGGAAGCTCTTTGAGAAGATTATCAAGGAGCACATCTGTGACGGGCCAGCAGCAGGGATGAT